CCACAGTAGAAGCCCATAAGGGAGAGGATCAAGGGCCAAGGACAGCCCAGGCATCCTGCCAACCTTGCCTAACTTCTGATGAGGGCTGGATGCTGCCTGTAGGCTCAGAGCCCCTGCACCTTTGCCCTAATGGCCAAGCCATATCCTTTTTTAGTTCAGGTGCATAAAGTGACAGGAGCCCAGTGACATGCCAGATCCCCTTTAGGACACAGTGCCTGGGCCTTCTGTATTTCCCCCAAAGACAGGTGACCTTGCCTGGAGCCCCTTTGAGAGGGCCAGGTCACCCTCTGGCCAAAGGCATGACCTAGAGCCAAATGGCAGCAGGAAGGGGTTCCTAAGTGGCTGTCTTTCCCATTGGCAGCTGGAGCTCCAGCACAGCCAGCACTCAGTGTCCTGAAAGCCCGTCCAGAGACAGGGAAGGTGGCCCTGCTCTTCTGGGTTCCTCCGTCTCCCCTCAGATCCTGCCTTCTCCTTGGTGCTGGAGACATCAGGCTGACTGACCCTGTCTGCACTTCAGGGAAGCCACCCTGGGCATTGGGTGGACCCCTGTGTGGCTGCACATTCCCCTCTGTCCTCTATCATTTCCACCAACCTCCCCCTCCCTGTCACCTATCCTCCTGCAGCCTCGGTCTTTTCCTCTGTACCTTTGGCTGATGGGACTCCAGACTCTGCTCCCCCCCAAATACAAACTGGAGTCTCACCCTGGCCTTGGAGGAGGAGCAGAGGACCCCACAGGCCATGATGCCCAGCTACCCATGAAGTCTGTGCAGCCACATGGTCATTTCCCAGGGCTGTTTCTGTGCTGTTAGGGTTGCTGTGCTTCAGAGGTCAGCACAGAGAAGGACCTGGGCCCAGGTGGATTTTGGACCCTGCAGGGAGGAGGCAGAGCAATGAGTGGTGTCCTGCAAGCTGGGCACTGTGGGAGAGCCACTCTGTACCCTCACAGGTTACAGAGCCAGTGGGTACTGAGCAGGACAGGACTCCCTGCCTCTTAGCTGCTCTGAGATCCCAGGAACCCACTCCTCACCCCTGGAGTCACTAGTTTACTGTCCTAGCAGCCACTGGCTCTTTTATTCTACTTTTTTGCTGCTGTGACTCAAAGACCTGACAAGAAAAACAAGGAAATGGAAAAGTTCATTTGGGGCTCATGGTTTCAGAGGGCTCAGTCCAAAGACAGCGGGTCCATTCCTTAGGTCTCGAGGAGAGGGTGATTATCATGGGTGGAAGGGTGTAGTGGAGGAGAGCTGCTCAAGACAGGAAGCAGAGAGAGAGCAAACTCCACTCAACAAAGACAAAATACATACCCCAGGCCCGCCCCAGAGACCCACCTCCTCCAGCTCCACCCTCCATGGCTACAGTTACCATCCAGTGAACCCTCACTGGGGGATTAATCAATGATTGGGTTAAGGCTCTCATAACCCAATCATGTCACCCCTAAACTTTCTGGAATTGTCTCACACATGAGCTTTGGAGGACACCTCCTCTCTAAACCATAACACTGGCCCATGAGGGTGTTGGGGTGGAGAGGAGGGAGCAGTGGGCTGTAATTGGAAGACCCAGGAGGGCTTCTCTGAGGGGACACAAAATGAAGATCCCCACAGGTGAGAAATGATGACCTTGGGGGATGAGGGGACTGCTTGAGCAAACTGGGCAGTGTGACTGTGCCCGTGGTCCTGGGAAGTCCTTCTTCCTCTCAGCCTTCATAGTTTCCTGAGTTCCCTCCAAGGTCCTTGTAGTCCTGGTCTGAGGGTCTGTGTAAACCTGTCCCTATTCAGTCCTGCTTGCTCTGTTGAAATACACTGGTGACTGCAACTGTGACACTTCTTAAGAACCCACCCCCTTGGGCTGGGGATGTAGCAGTGGGTAGAGTGCTTGCCGTGCATGCACAAGACCCTGGGTTCAATCCTCAGTACCACCAGAAAGAAAGAAAGAAAGAAAGAAAGAAAGAAAGAAAGAAAGAAAGAAAGAAAGAAAGAAAGGAAGGAAGGAAGGAAGGAAGGAAGGAAGGAAGGAAGGAAGGAAGGACCCACCCCCCTCCACTTCCTCTGTCCCTACCCTGTGGCTTCCCCTGAGGACAGGTCCCTCTGAGGTTGAGTTTACTGTTATTTATGCACCTGATAAACATTCTGAGGACTAGCTGCACAAGATATCATACCAGGAAGCAGAGAGAGAGTGGACCTGTGGACCTGGAAGGGCTCTCTTGGGCAACTCGTGCCGCTGGGGAGACAGGCCCATAACCAGGAGATGTCAAATCTTCTAGAATCCTGCAAGGACATAGGGAATACAGCAGGAGACAGGAGTGCCTGCTCTGCCTGACTTCCTGGAGGAAGGGGTGTGGGCTCCACCTCAAATGACCTTCAGTACCTTCTCCTAACAGGCCTTGGCTTCTTCATTCTAGCCTGGGTTCATTCCTAAATGCCAGGATAGCAAGTGTCTTTTATTGGTGACAATATTCCCAGGTGGCAGTGTCCTGGGCTTCTCCTTGACTTCTACATAAAGAGCAAGGTCTGTTGTTAATTCAAAGTTTTCCATCAATGCACTGTGGTCCAAGCCACTGTCCCAGCTCCCATCCAGGCAGATGCTCTCTCTGTATTCTCCTGACTTAGTTCATAGCTGGGGCTGTGGAGGTTGAGATATTCTAGCTCCTCCTGGTTCATAGCCATGTTATAAGCTCCTTAATGTCAACTGAAAAACACAGTGCTCCTTCCTAACCTGGAAGTTGCTGTCTACCTCTTGGTGAAGGTCTCCAAACTAACAGTAAAACTGTGGAATGAAGAAGAGTCTTCAGAGCATTAGGGCATGTGGTGGGTGGGGTGGGGTGGAAAACTGACATATATGTAATGATCTAGAGAAAGCCTGAGAGAAGAGGAGAGGAGAGAGAGAGCGTGAGAGTGAAAGAGAGAGAGAAACACAGAGAAGAAGATTGAAGCAGAAGCTAAAAATTCAGGAAAATATCTGCAGTGACAAATCCCTGCTACCGTCCTTTCCATCTCATCAGGTTTAAGAC